GAGTGTTGCTGATTAACCGTGTGGATGTATGATAACAGCCTTCTGAACCTACCAGTAGGCGCAGAAGGTATGAAAGGCCCCTACTGGCCCATATCTATCAGCTGATAACCAATGATAACGCCCATTCAAGGGTGACGTCCTGTTTTTTCTCTCAGGAAATTACCTTTGGAGTCAATCAGGGCCATATGCTTGCAAAATGAAAGATTTTGCAAATAAAAAATAAAGTATTGAGCAAAACATTTATAAATTAATGCAAATCGCCAAAAATCGCACAGCAAAAAATTATTTTTGAGAAATAAATATTAATTTTGTGGAAAAAAACTGCAAAGGGAAATTTAAGTTTTGAGAAACAAAAATGAAATTTGCAAATAAAAACCAAGCAGTGCTAAAAAAAACTAAAATATATATGCAATAAAAATAAATATATATTTTGCAAAACATTTTGTACAGCATTGCCTTTACAAAACCAGTCCAGTCAATAGCCATGGTCATTTTAATTTTCTTTTTAGTCAACTGTAAGTTTGCGCTGTTGTTATCTCTTTGCATTTCAGGTTTCTGCGCAATTTCACTTTGTCTGAAAAGTTCTATTGTAACGTTTGGTTTTGTAAAGGCAATGCTATAAAAATGTTTTGTTGGTTGCAAGACCAAAATAAAGGAGGAAGAGTTTCAGTGTTATTCTGACAAAGGGAGCATCTAAAAGCTGTCTTTCTTATTTTATTTTTTATTGTAAATATGTACAAACTTAGCAAAAGAGAATACATCTCACAACAATGAACAAAATAAAAATAAATAAAATAAAATGAGAGAAATTATCTCAGTAATACAAAGCATAAACAGATGCCAGGGGTGAAAAAGGTAAGATAATAATAATGAAAAATAAAACTTTGAATCAATCAATTAAAAGTTACATAATGCTTTATATGTTTTTTAGCCTTTCTCTTTTTAATGTTACATAGTAAAGTACCATATTGTTAAATTTCCTTTATAAAATGTTCAAAAGTTGGCTTATCTTTGGCCCATTTCTTGACATGATTATAGTATTTTCCAAGTAATATTATCAGTTTATTAGAAAATATGTTGTACTTTTTGAATCGATTCCATCTTGTACTAAAGTAAATATGACTTTTAACCCAATTTGTATTTGAGTACCAAATGTCTTAAAATAAAGTTAAAAACATCAATCCAAAATAGTCTACACATTGAAAAAATAGATGAGGAACAAATTATTTAAAAGGTGTCTTTGGTGGACACGAGCAGCGACAAACGACACATCTTCAAGGGCACGAAACATTCCCGCCCCTAATAAAAACGATTGGTTGTTTGTTCATTGTCGGCACCCCATTGGAGGAAATAGTTAAACGTCATCGGTTAAGGAAGACGTCCAGACTGGTGAGGAAAACGTGCTTCCTGTTTATAGTGTGTTTTAGCGTAAAATAAGCAGTGTTTTTAAGATAAAGACACATGTTTATCTGAAGTTAGGAGTAAACCAAATACACGCGTTAAAGAGCTTTAACGTTACATGTATCAAACCGGCGTACGTGTTTTCTTATTTATTAGCATATAACGCCTATATAGCTAGATTCTGTCATGTGCAGTCGTTTTTATAAATGTCTCTGCTGCAAGAGAAGTGCCTATAATAAACGCATCCCTATTGGTTTCTGTTTTATCAAAGCGCTTTGTGTCTGTGTGGGTTAACTTAGCTGGTCCTTGTTACTGCCACCAATTTTCATTTAGTTTTGTATTACGTATTATATTTATCTATATATGTGTTTATTATTAAGTCACGTTTTTTTAAATGGACAAAGTCCAACACGCGATGAACATTTGTATGTCTGAAGTAGTGGACGGTTTGTCTCAGAGTAAGCTAACTAACCGAAGTTCACATTATTAAACACAAGATGTCGCCCGAACATCACGAGTTCATTCTTATAATATTTGTCTATGAATGATTTGTTTCTGCCGTTGGGCTTCGTGGGAAGTTTAGTGAAGATAAGAAATATTCGAGATTTCGTTTAACTATGGAATTTGCCCTGCTGAAAAAACTGGTTCACAAACCTGGGGGCTATTTCATAAAAGTGGTTAAGAAAAGCGGGGATTAAAGTCAAAAGCCTGACTTCAGTGAGCTGAACTAAACGTCCACGCTTAAACTGGTTCCATAACTTCCATACTTTTAATTATATGTTATTTTTAATAATTAATAATATCCATCCATGTGAAGACATTGATCATGTTAATGATTTCTCACAGTAGTTGTCAACAATGATTTAACAAGTTAGATAAACATTAATTTGCAACACTTCATTTGTCTGAAATTGTTTTTAAAGTTTTTTTTTAATTTATAACTTAAAGTAATTTTCAAATTTACACCAAATTTAAGCAAAATAATCTTACGTCAAAAGAAAACACAAGATTATTTTGCTTTCCCCATTGGCAGATTATTTTGCTTGTTTTAAGGAAAAACTCACTTAATATTGGCATTTTATTTCTCAAAACAAGACAGTGTGTTTGGCTTGTCTAGAAAATGCTTCTTGATATAAGAATTTTTAGATATTTAGAAGAAAAACAAGACAAAACATCTAAGCAAGAAAAGCATTTTTTGCAGTGTATATAAAAGCAGTTGTGATAAATGGACTGTATTCGCTTAATGTTTTTCAGATGGCAGCCACACAGAAACTCTCCGGTTGTCGGCTACCTCCTCTCCCTACCATAGGGGAGATCATCAAACTCTATAATCTGAAAGCACAGAAGCAGCTTTCTCAGAACTTTCTCCTAGACACGAGACTCACCGGTATGTCCTATCACCGTGTACATCTTTATTTGTTTATTTTACTTGATTTGATGGAAATCAGTGGAGTGGCACACTGTTTATGAATGTTGGCTGCCTTCTGTTAAGCTCTAAATCTTTGTGATTTTCCAGATAAGATTGTCCGGCAGGCGGGAAACCTCAACAATGCACATGTGTGTGAGGTGGGACCTGGACCTGGGGGTCTCACCAGGTCTATTCTGAAAGCTGGAGCTGCAGATTTATTAGTGGTGGAGAAAGACATGCGCTTTATTCCAGGATTACAGGTTTGCAAATACAGTAAATCCATTGGTCATGCCGTTTAAGATTACACTCGCTGGCCACTTTATTAGGTATACCTTACTGGCACTGGGTTGGACCCCCTTTTGCCTTATGACTTAATCCTTCGTGGCATTGATTCAACAAGGTACTGGAAATATTCCTCAGAGATTTTGCTTCATATTGACATGATAGCATCACTTAGTTGCTGCAGATTTGTCGGCTGCACATCCATGAGGCCAATCTCCCATTCCATCCCATCCCAAAGGTGCACTATTGGATTGAGATCTGGTGACTGTGGAGGCCATTTGGGTACAGTCAACTCATTGTGATGTTAAGGAAACTAGTCCAAGATGATTCGCGCTTTATGACATGGTGCGTCATCCTGCTGGAAGTAGCCATCAGAAGATGGAGACACTGTGGTCATAAAAGGATGGACATGGTCAGCAACAACACTTAGGTTGGCTGTGTTGTTGACAAAATGCTCAATTGGTACTAATGGGCCCAAAGTGTGCCAAGAAAATATCCCCCACACATTACACCACCACTATCTGCCTGAACTGTTGAAACAAGGCAGGATGGATCCGTGCTTTCATGTTGTTGACGCCAAATTCTGATCTGACCTTACGATTGTCGCTGCAGAAATGGAGACTCATCAGAGCAGGCAACGTTTTTCCAATCTTCAATTGTCCAGTTTTGGTGAGTCTGTGTGAATTGTAGCCTCAGTTTCCTGTTTTTAGCTGACAGGAGTGGCAACCGGTGTGGTCTTATGCTGCTATAGCCCATCTGTCTCAAGGTTGGACGTGTTGTGTGTTCAGAAATGCTCTTCTGCAGACCTCAGTTGTAATGAGTGCATTTTGAAGTCAGCTGGAACCAGTCTGGCCATTCTTCTCTGACCTCTAGCATCAACAAGACGTTTGTGCTCACAGAACTGCCGCTCACTGGATATTTTCTCTTTTTCAGACCATTCTCTGTAAACCCTAGAGATGGTTGTGCGTGAAAATCCCAGTAGATCAGCAGTTTCTGAAATACTCAGACCAGCCCATCTGGCACCAACAACCATGCCAGTCACTTCAAAGTCACTTAAATCACCCTTCTTCCCCATTCTGGTGCTCTGTTTGAACTGCAGCCGATCGTATTGACCATGGCTGCGTCCGAAACCGCCTACTACTCAGTAGGTACTGCATTTGAATTTAAACGTACTACTCGGCCGTTAGAAAAGTACGTTCTATACAGTATGAATGTGAAAAGTATGAATGGAATTTGGACGTACTACATCCGCTATTTTGTCATGGTCACGTGGTCTACCTGCGTCAATTGCGTTGCTTCACTTCCATTCATGAATTCTCTCGCGGGGCATCATGGGATAGCGCAGCGTGCATGGGATGCACACTCCAGAATCTTGCCGGAAGTAGTAAGTCATCCGGGTACTTCTTGCATACTGATTTTCATATTCTATGAATTCGGACATACTACTCGGCTCGCATACTGGTTTTAGAATACTATATAGTATGGGAATATGCGGTTTCGCACGCAGCCCATGTCTACATGCCTAAATGCATCGAGTTGCTACCATGTGATTGGCTGATTAGAAATTTGCATTAACGAGCAGTCGGACAGGTGTACCTAATAAAATGGCCGGTGAGTGTATTTCAGTTGGCTGATAATTAGATTGTTCAAATCCATTATTAATTGTTTTTTTACATATAATTTTAGTGAATTTTGCAGACTTGTATTATAGAGTAAGCAATGCTATTTTTTACAGTTAATGTTATGTCGTAATTTCTCAATTTAAAGGCTTGGTCATAGGTAAAGCAACATGTTATTGCTGATGAGTCTAGCACATTATGCACATGCTTAAATCATTAAAGACGCTTTAAATAATGTGTTTGTTTGTTTCACCAAATGATTTCAATAATAGATTTGCTGTACAAGGAGTTAACTCATTAAATGACAAAAGTAAATGCCTTAGTATAGTTAGCAGTGTCGTCGTGGACTCTAAATGTGATTTTGTATTTTGCTCAGCAAGTTATTTTTATTTATTTTTCAATTCAAATGTGTTTGTATAGTGTTTTTCACAATAACTATTGGTCCAAAGCAGCTTTACAAAAGGTGCAAATTATTACAATCAAAATCAGAAAATGTTATGAGTAGGTGTGAGTAGGATGGACAGTACAGCATGTACATAGTTTATCTATAGTTATGACATAATGTACAGTAATAAAATGTAATATACCTTTAAAAAAAAGGTGACATCTGTATTTTAAATACACATATAATATAATATAATATAATATAATATAATATAATATAATATAATATAATATAATATAATATAATATAATATAATATAATATACAGTTGAAGTCAGTATTATTAGCCCCCCTTAATTATTAGCGCCCCTGTTTATTTTTTTCACCAATTTCTGTTTAATGGAGGGAAGATTGTTTCAGCACATTTCTAAGCATAATAGTTTTAAAAACTTATTTCTAATAACGGATTTATTTTATCTTTGACATGATGACAGTAAATAATATTTTACTTGATATTTTTTAAGACACTTCTATGCAGCTTAAAGTGATATTTAAAGGCTTAACTAGGTTAATAAGGTGAACTAGGCAGAAGAATAGCTTTAAGGGGCTAATAATTTTGTCCCAAAAATGTTTTTTTAAAAATTAATAACTGCTTTTAATATAGCCAAAATAAAACAAATAAGACTTTCTCCAGAGGAAAACATATTATCAGACATACTGTGAAAATCTCCTTGCTCTGTTAAACATCATTTGGGAAATATTTAAAAAATAAAAAATCAAATCAAAAGGAGGCTAATAATTCTGACTTCAACTGTATATGTGTAATGTGTGTGTATATATATATTTTTTCCTCCAGCTCTTGTCAGAGGCTGCTCCTGGAAGAATAAGGATAGCCCAGGGAGATATTCTCGCATACAAACTGGAAAGAAGGTTCCCAGCCAACATAACCAAGACATGGGAAGATGGTAAAGTTATCTACTTCATAATGTAATGTGTGTGTATTTATATAGCACATTTATTGTGTATGGTCATACAACCAAAGCGCTTCACAATCATTAGGGGGGTCTCTCCACACCACATCCAGTGTGCAGCATCCACTTCAATCAGTGGTTCTCCAACTTTTTCATCAAGTACCACCTCAGAAAAAGTAAATTGTCTCTCCAAGTACCACTATAATGACCAGTATTGAAATACTGTAGTGTAATAAGCCCAGTAAAGCAGCTACAGCTCTGGAAAGTTCAAAAACGTGTCAGATTAATTCCTATTATTAAGAATATTTTTTATTGTCAGCCACTTTAAACATTCTACATAGTTTGAACATTAACACTGTACTGTGCTTATATGTAAAAACTAAAATAAAAAAAGTCAACATTTAAATTAAAATGTGCTTTTAAAAGTTAAAAATGAGGCGAAGAAACCCTCCTGTACTTCAATGTAAAGTATTAACATAGATTAGACTATTTATCAACACCTGTAAATATGGGCTATATGTCATCATATTCATATATAAATAATTTTTGATAATTTTTTAAATATATGTAGCATGTATATTTGACATATTTGATTTCTCTGCGCACCACTAAAAAGAAACCAGCGTACCACAGTTTAAGAACCACTGACTTAAATGATGTGACAGCAGCCACAGGACAACGGTACCAGTGCGCTCACCACACACCAGCTATGGGTGGATCGGAGAGACAGTGATAGAGCCAATTCAGTGGATGTGCATGATTGGGGAGGCCATGATTGTAAGGGCCGATTGAGGGACTTTGGCCAGGACAGCGGGGTTATACCCCTACTCTTTACAAGAAGTGCCATGGGATTTTAAATAACCACAGCGAGTCCAGACCTCGGTTTGACGTCTCATCCAAAAGACAGTACAGAAAGTATAGTGTTCCCCTTACTATTCTGGGGCATTAGGACTCACACAGACCGCAGGTTGAGCGCCCCCTGTTGGCTCACTAACACCACTTCCAACAGCAACCTAGTTTTCCCATGTGGTTTCCATTCAGGTACTGACCAGGATCAGCCCTCATTAATATCAGTAAGTAACCGGTCTTGGGCACTCTTCGTATTTATAAGCGAACTAGGCTGTGGCAAAGTGTCCTGGCTATTTATTTATTTTTTTGTTTTATTAAAAATACACCCTGAAGAGTCTAAGTCCTTACTATTCTTAAACAATTAGAATTCTTAAAGGGTTAGCTCATCCCAAGATGGAAATTGTTACTAATTACTCACTATTCAAAAAAAGTTAATGATTCGCACTCAATTGCTTCGTACTGTTTTTATTTTTCTTACATTTTACGGGTGATTAAAAGACAGCTCCACCCCTTTATCCCATAGTCAATCACAATGTGCAATTAGTTAGACCGTCACTCTCATTTCATTATCCATTAAAGACACAATAACTTATAATCTTCACAGCAATAACAATAAACAATCTTCACATTTCCGACCTCACTCTACAGAGATAAAGTGCATCAACTATTATCATTAATCAGGTGTACATCAATACAATAAAAATCTGACAGTGAACATTAAAATAAAGTTTTCTACATTTGACAATTACTCAAAGATTAAAAAACACAAGTCTTACCTTCACCTCTACCCACATAACCAATTATACAAGAGATATTTACCCTCATCTTCGAAAACAATTTGCGAAACATACAAAAAATACCTTTACCTTCAAAAAACATTACTACATAAGAAAACAGCATATCAATTATCAACATTTTTTTAAAAGTTCACATTACAATATATCATGATCAATTACTCGAAAAATACCTTTTCCTTCCAAAACATCATCTCACAAGAAAACAGCACATCAAACATCAAGTTTACCAGTCCTCTCCTTTTCATTACAATATCATGATCAATTACTAATTACTCACTCTCATGTCATTCAAAACCCCTGAGAGCTTCTATGTTTTTTGGAGAGCAAATTATGATATTTTAGGTGAAAATCTGAGAGGTAATGCATCAGAGGTGTGGCCAAGTGCAACACATGATCGCTCACCCTATACTGAAACTGAGGAGAAGAAACTTGAAAACAGCCGAGTACATAAGGATTCTCATCCGGAATTTGAATGAGTGAAGACTGTTGCTCTCTATTGAGGGCCAAACTTTAATCACTTCGTGTTGGGATAACATGAGGGAATTAAGTCTCTTAAGAACATAAAACAATTTAATTGTCCCCCTAAAAAACTCAAGAATTATGTTGTTTCAGCTCATTTTATATACAGTATGTAGTTTGAACAAACAGCAAACATTTTACATTTAGTCATTTAGCAGACGCTTTTATCCAAAGCGACTTACAAATGAGGATAAGGAGGCAATTAACACAACTATAAGAGCATCAATGGATAAGTGCTGTAGGCAAGTTTCAGATATGTAAAGTGTAAGAAGCAAAACATTAGTCATTTTTTTGTAATACAGGTAGCGGTAGAACCAGAGAGGCAATTGCAGATTAGGAAGGAAAGTGGAGACTAAATAGTTGAGTTTTTAGTCGTTTCTTGAAGACAGCGAGTGACTCTGCCGTTCTGATGCAGTTCGGGAGTTCATTCCACCAACTGGGCAGATTGAATGCGAGAGTTCGGGAAAGTGATTTCTTCCCTCTTTGGGATGGAACCACGAGGCGACGTTCATTCACAGAACGTAAGTTTCTGGAGGGCACATAAATCTGCAGCAGTGAGAGCAGATAAGGAGCAAAGCCAGAAGTCGCTTTGTAGGCAAACATCAGAGCTTTGAATTTGATGCGAGCAGCAACTGGCAGCCAGTGCAAACGGATGAGCAGCGGAGTGACATGTGCTCTTTTAGGTTCATTAAAGACACTCGTGCTGCTGCGTTCTGAAGCAGCTGAAGAGGTTTGATAGAGTTAGCTGGAAGCCCCGCTAGTAGAGAGTTGCAATAGTCCAGTCTGGAGAGAACAAGAGCTTGAACAAGGAGTTGAGCTGCATGTTCAGATAGGAAGGGTCGGATCTTTCTGATGTTATAGAGTGTGAATCTGCAAAATCGAGCAGTACTAGAAATGTGGTCAGAGAAGTTTAGTTGCTCATCAATCGTTACTCCAAGGCTTTTCACCGTTTTGGATGCAGTAATGGTTGCCCCATCCATCTGGATTGAAAAGTTGGGATGTCGGGTTGGCAGAAACTTCAAGCATTACCGTTTTCGTGAGGTTTAGCTGAAGATGATGATCTCTCATCCAGTGTGAAATGTGTGACATTTCACTTTATTGTTTGAGTGCAGGGAGCTCTCAGATTTGATTAAAAACATCGTACATTGTGTTCTAAAGATGAGCGAAGGTCTCAGAGGGTTGGAATGATACGAGTTTGAAGAAAGCTGGAACCCATTGGCTCCCATAGTATTTTTATTCCTAGTATGGAAGTCAAGGGTTAAAGGTTTTCAGGTTTTCTTCAAAAATCTTCTTCTGCGTTCAACAGATTTAAGAAACTCATCAAAACTACTTATGGTAGAGAAAATAATAGGTAAAGTTTAATAATTGGGTGAACTGTCTGTTGAAGACAACTTCAGTCTTTTAAATGTATGCATTTACACATTAGCATGACATAACCTAACTCTAACCCCTTTTTGTCTGATGAGCAACTGAATTGAGCTTGTTTTGGTTTGTCTCTCAGTGAAGCAAAGGTCTCGGTTGTTTATTCTCACCTCACTGGTTTATTGTTGTCATATAAGCACATGTAAAATAATTTGTAGCGTAGAGGTAAAAGGTAGTGTGTGTTTGTGTGTTTCAGATCCCCCCAATCTGCATATTATTGGCAATCTGCCCTTTAATGTGTCGACGCCACTCATTATAAAGTGGTTGGAGCAGATGTCTAACAGGACTGGGATCTTTATGTTTGGACGTACAAGGCTGACTCTGACCTTTCAGAAAGAGGTGGCCGAAGTAAGTTGAACTCTAACTCAATCAATCAATCAATCAATCAACCAATCAATCAATCAATCAATGTATATTTTTTCATTGATACTGTCATATACAGTTAGCATTTTTTCCTCAGTTTTTTTTATCGAACATGTTAAATATGAAACATGCAGTATAAATAGCTTTTCACTTTTCATTTTTTTAGATAAACAAAACCCGTCGCACACATATACATTCAGGCTTTATAGAAATATGGTAATAATGTAAAATAAAAAACAAATAAATTATGATATTAAGTAAAATATATTTTAATTTAATTTTTATAAAAGAAAACAAAATGGAAAAAAATACATATTAAAAAATACAAATAATAAGGAAAAGTTATACTCTTCTGAAATAACTGAAGGGTGCATCTTTATGTGATCTAAAACAGGTTGCCAAGTAAGAAAAAACTTACTCAAGTGGAGTAAAAGTTTCATGAGACATTGCTTAAAGGGTACACGTTTTGATGAATGTTTTAATATAGCTGGCACGCCTCCCACCAGTGCTGATATACAGCCATATCGCACTGCTACTCGTGTGATATTGCTCATATATATATATATATATATATATATATATATATATATATATATATATATATATATATATATATATATATATATATAAATATATATATATACATACAGTTAAAGTCAGAATTATTAGCCCCCCTTTGATTTTTTTCTTTTTTAAATATTTCCCCAATTATGTTAAACAAAGCAAGGAAATTTTCAGTTTGTCTGATAATATTTTTTCTTCTGGAGAAAGTCTTATTTGTTTTATTTTGGCTAGAATAAAAGCAGTTTTAATTTTTTATGAACCATTTTAAGGTCAAAATTATTAGCCCCTTTAAGCTATTTTTTTTGTTTGATTGTCTACAGAACAAACCATTGTTATGCAATAACTTGCCTAATTACCCTAACCTGCCTAGTTAACTTAATTAACCTAGTTAAGCCTTTAAATGTCACTTTAAGCTGTATAGAAGTGTCTTGAAAATATCTAGTAAAATATTATTTAATGTCTACATGGCAAAGATAAAATAAATCAGTTATTAAAAATGAGTTATTACAACAGGCGAGGCAGTGGCGCAGTAGGTAGTGCTGTCGCCTAACAGCAAGAAGGTCGTTGGTTCGAGCCTCAGCTCAGTTGGCGTTTCTGTGTGGAGTTTGCATGTTCTCCCTGCCTTCGCGTGGGTTTCCTCCGGGTGCTCCGGTTTCCCCCACAGTCCAAAGCGGGACAGGTGAATTGGGTAGGCTAAATTGTCCGTAGTGTATGAGTGTGTGTGTGGATGTTTCCCAGAGATGGGTTGCAGCTGGAAGGGCATCCGCTGCGTAAAAACTTGCTGGATAAGTTGGCGGTTCATTCCGCTGTGGCGACCCCGGATTAATAAAGGGACTAAGCTGACAAAAAAATGAATGAATGAGTTTATTACAACTATTATGTTTAGAAATGTGTTGAAGAAAACTTCTCTCCGTTAAACAGAAATTGGGGAATAAAATAAACAAGGGAGCGAATAATTCTGACTAGAACTGTATATACTTTTTTGTAATTTGAGTGTGTAGCAGAAGAGTAGGCAAGCCTTGCGACATTCTGCTTTGTCATTATTGCATCTTTAACAGACAGCTCTCTCCGTTGCTTAGTTACAAGCATCCTGTCACTGTTTTAACTGCCCTGTCAGTCATCATGTCACAGTTAACAATGCATCCTCCACATTTACTTTCATTTCCTATTGTACTGGAAAGAAATAAAGTGGCACACTGCTCTGCCAGATGTGGGCGTTTCGGGAGCAGAAGTGTTCATATAATTGCGTTTGCAGTTTTTCTCGATTGCTTGCACACATTTATTGAAACTATGCCTTATATTCTCAAAACAGTAAACACAAATCCACATCTGACCCAGTTTCCCTAACATTATTTTCAGATCAAAATAAGGCTCTAAACTCAAGTAGGGCTGGGCGATCAATCGAAATCGTCATTCAGAACCTATAATTGATCTAATTTTATCAGGTCTATTTTTATTTAATAGCTTTCCCTACCCCCTGTGCAGTCATGTGACTCCACTCTGTTAAGGCATATTTAGAGGATACATGAGTTTATTTAAAAGAGATGCTGCTTATTTCCTTCATTTGAAAGCATTGGAAATAATTAATCTTCTTTCCTAAAGTGCTAGTTTTTATTTTTATTTTTTATAAGACAAAAGTGACTGTTGGTCTTAGGGAATGTGTGTTTTAATTTCAGTTGTTTAATGGTAATGGTTTAATGGTAATAAACCAGTGTTGCCAACTATTTCCAATGAAAAGTAGCTAAAGCCTACCCAAACAGTAGCTATATGTTGCCAGATGACGTCACGCACTAATTTGCATATCAGTGATGTCATCACATATAGTATCTGACAATCATAAGCCCATCATGTCTCTACTCTCTGAGGCGATGTGTTTTATATTATATTAAAACATTGCATCCAGATGCACAATAAGTAGGTTCTTATTAACATATTACTTTGCATGATGATGTCATAGCGTAATCGCAATTCAAAACTACATCTTTATGCAGGGCCTTAACACAGGGGGGTGGCCCAATGGCCACTGCCCCTCTGCCCTCATTTTATCGCAATAACACTGACAATCAATCAGAGATAGCAATAAACAATCACAACTTGTGTACTTACTCTTTTTTTTTTAACTTAAAACTAAGACATTTGTGAAAGTGACAACAATTATAGCACTATTGGGTTTTAATGCTGCCTAAATGACCAACATGTTAACAAATATCAGTAAATTGACAGTCATGAAAAACAATCTGAGCTAGCAATTTACTCAAATTACTGAATGAAGCCTGCAGCCACTGCTCTTTTGAGTCACTTTTTAAAAATTGATAAAAGTAGCATAATGAATGTTAAAAATTGCTACATTTGTTGCTTGGTGCTTTTTGTAATATTGCTAAGTTTGGAAAATTGCTAAGTTGGCAACACTGTACACAACCTGTCAGTGATCTATGAGGGCAAAAATATAAAGGAATAAAATAATCGTTTATTAATTGTAATTGAGTTAAAATGTTCAATTAATCGAGATTTTGATTTTAGGCCAAATCGCTCAACCATACTCAAAACCATGCCCTCTAGCTGAAAAACCAAACTTTGTCCGTCATAAAAAATATGTTTATGTATATATATTATTATTAATTATTATTTTTTTCCCCCAATTTCTGTTTAACAGAGAGAACACATTTCTAAACATAATAGTTTAAATAAAATGCGAGACAGTGGCGCAGTAGGTAGTGCTGTCGCCTCACAGCAAGAAGGTCGCTGGTTCGAACCTCGGCTCAGTTGGCGTTTCTGTGTGGAGTTTGCATGTTCTCCTTGCCTTCGCGTGGGTTTCCTCCGGGTGCTCCGGTTTCCCCCACAGTCCAAAGACATGCGGTACAGGTGAATTGGGTAGGCTAAATTGTCCGTAGTGTATGAGTGTGTGTGGATGTTTCCCAGAGATGGGTTGCGGCTGGAAGGGCATCCGCTGCGTAAAAACTTGCTGGATAAGTTGGTGGTTCATTCTGCTGTGGCGACCCTGGATTAATAAAGGGACTAAGCCGACAGGAAAATGAATGAATGAATAGTTTAAATAACTTATCTCTAATAACTGACTTATTTTATCTTTGCCTTGATGACAGTAAATAATATTTGACAATAATCTTTTTGAATGCAATTTGGAGGGCATTTACACCTGTCCTTTTCATAGCTATCCGATCAGAAAATGATGCTAAGTGACCAGGGGCCTCATATATCAATGCTGTGTATGCACAAAAACTTTGTGTACGCCAGATTTTTACGCTCACATTTGGATTTACTAACGATGAAATTAATGTGAGAATGTGCATTGGTCCACACCAACTTAATGTCTGGCGTCCGTGCATTTCTTGTGTGTTTGTTTTATTTCCATTGGTGACTCCTAGAGGCAGTTGTGTTAAATTGCACACTACAAAGTGTCTTTGAGCCGTGCAATGCCAGCTGTATGGGACGGGATCATCCGCATGTCTAGCAGGTATATAAGGATTTCATATCATGCAGTTGATCAGCCAAACATTAAAGCGCAATTTGCTAATCGGAGCGATCTACTGCACGCACATTGCTATAAAGGCACCATCTAAAGACGAATTTGCATACGTGAATCGGAAACATTTCCATTCAATAAAAATGCAAATAATATGTGATGCTCAAATGCGCTTAAGATAATACACACACTTATTAATGATTCCTACTTCCGCGTGATGAAGAGTAGGTAAAATCTGATATGTAGTGGGGGAAAGAAGAATGAGTTCATCAGACGCTGGATTCAAACCGTATTCACGATCGAACATGTCAAAACATGTTGCCATGCGCTTTACGAGCTACGCCACTCATGCTGCTGTTGGCTGCTCTCTTTAGTTATGTTGTCTCTGTCAATCAAACGGTGATGGGCGGGGATCACTTAACTAGCTCAATCCAACGAAGTGTGCTATTCGCACTTAGCCCAAATAGACACTACATCATTTTATACCTTTACATGAGAGCTGCACGATTCTGGCTAAAATAAAGATCACGATTTTCTCACGATTCTGTAGATGTAAAATACAGGTATGGTAAAAACAAACAGATGGCACAACATTGATAATATTATGTGTAGGTCTACTGGTTTCTATAAATAATTCTATTCTACTAACAATAATTCTGATGTTGAATTATTATGTTTGAGGTATATGCTTGCAATCTGTCATATTAGACAAATTAATTCACTGGTAAAATCAGACATTTGCCATTATCAGATTATATTCAACAATATATAGGCTAGAGTAGTTATACTGACACTAAACATTTATTTTCATGCACAACTGTGTGTTCGCTATGAAAGAAAAAACATATCAAATGCTTTTTGTAATCATAACTCTAAAATGCGATATGATCATTTAAATGATGTGCACACTTTCGGTTTCATTTAGACAGCTAAGTGCTTG